CAATGATGCTGGGCAATACAAGCAGCCAACTTTGAACATAGTGGCAGCTTTTCCCCCCCACCCTCAGAAAAGCATTTTTTTTTAACATTCTCACCTTTCCTTCCATTCCTTCATTTAGCTGCATCTTAAGGACCGTTTTGATCAAAATATCTGCTTTTTTTTTCTTTTAGAAAAGGAAAGGAGCAAGAGTTCCTTTCAGGGAGATGTGTTTATTAGCATTATTAGTGCCTAAGATGTGCACATCACCTTAGCTTCTGGCTGATTTTTGACAAGTTTAATCAAGCATTTCATCTGATAATAGCTGCCTTTGGAGGTTAATACAATGCAGCTCACCTCCAATTCTTTCTTCCATTTCTCTCCAATAAAGTAAAATAAAGGCGAGAGAGAGAGAGAAGGATCCCTGTGGGATAATCACGGCAGTTCCTATATTCCCCACTCATCACCGAATGCCTTGTCCCGCATTGAACCACCTTTATTGAAAAGTTACATCGATTCAATATATAGTAATACAGGCAAAAATAATTACAGCTTTGCGAGTGGTGTAAGACCTTAATCCGAAGCTCACAAACATTCAATAAAAAGTAGTGCAGACTGGGAAATAGGCTTTTGACAGCAGAGCCCCCAAGGAGGTGGGAGGTGGGAGGGAACAGCCTCCGAGAACAAAAGCCAAGCTGCAAAAATCCACCAAGTCACCTCCTTCTATACCAGGAAAGATTTTGACATTTTAGAAATCAATTAATATTCCTTCAATTATTTTATAATTGAAGAAGACATGTATTAGAAAAGGGATTTATGGCGGCGAAGCAAGCATCGAGCTGGCCCAAAGCAATTGCTATCACTCCTGATCTTTCATCAGAAATATCCTTTCTGGTTTTAATCACTGATACCTCCTTGATGGACATTTATTTTCTTATCATTTCTCCTTCCATTGGAGGAAAGCAAATTTCCCCTAACCCTTTTCATGGAGGAAGTCTAGAAAACTGCTTGGCAATTTCTGTGACTACCAATTTGATAAGGTTAAAAGACCTCTTTGGACTGAACAAAGTTAAAGCTGAGAAAACAAGACCTATTTCATATGGAGAGCCAGTTTGGTCTAGTGGTTAAGGCACTAGACTTGAAAGCTGGAGACTGTGAGTTCAAGTCCTGCCTTAGCCATGAAAGCCAACTGGGTGACTTTGGGCCAGCTATTCTCTCTCAGCCCAACCCAGGTCACAGGCTTCTTGTTGAAGGAGTAAGACGTGTTAGCTATGTTGGCTGCCTTGAGTTATTTCTGTAATAATACAGGTGGG